CAAGACGGCACTACAGGAAACTCTGGATATGTCCATCCAGATCCCAACTGCTAGCGATTAAATGAAGCAGATGTGTATCAAATTTTTACTCGGATATGCAGGCATATTGACGTGCTGACAACTGCAGTCCCTGCGTTGTCAATTGTCATGCTGGGTAGTCATCAATATGCCCTGTAAGTTGTATGGACTAACCCTGGCCAGTAGCAATCCATCTGTAGGCATGGAGGCTTCATATTTGTGGTGCTTTGGCAATAGGTCTGAAATCATTGCCAGAGGGAGACAATTCCGTCACCATGCTTGCTGAGACCAAAATGCACAGCATAGAGTGTATTCGTACTTGGTTACTGAGTCTTCTCCCACGTATTTCCCCTCCACCTGCCAGTCAGTTGCATATCTTCTGCATCACCAATTGACGCCTTACAGATGCACTTAACTACCTACTGTAAAAACATGCTGCACTGGATGAAATAGCAATTCGTGGGGCTGATATTGGGCTTTATGAAAGCGGAAATGACATTGCCACTGCCTCAAATGGAGCTGCTAACTTGCAGTTTGTGACTGTTCGCCATTGTCACCTGTCTGTACACCAAAACCATCCATCAGTATTCAATCACACAGGGCAGGATAAAATGAGCCTTTGAAAGCAAGTGAATGTGTTCAAGGCACTCCATTAGTTTTGGCTATGAATTTGGGCCACTGCACAACAGGAAGTTTGTGGCGAGGTTCCATTGAGGACACTGCAGTCTCTTCTACGCAACTACAAGGCGCATTTAATTGATCAGTCTACTCACACGGACAAAAGTGAGATCCGGTTACCAGCAAGAGAAAGAAGAATTTGGTATAGTCTGAACACGCATTTACAAGATTGCAACTCTGGTTTTATGGACGAAGCTTATTTGAGTCGAATACAGAGGGATAGGGGCAACTGCAAATGCTCCCCTCTTGACCATCAGCCTCTTGACAACAATTTCCTCATTCTTAGTAATTGACATATCAGATCTGGTGGATGGAATAGATGAGGTGACCCTGTCGTGAAGCAATATCCAGTCTGGAGAAGCACAGAGACAGAGCACTTCTCCTTCGTCTTCTCACTCTCCAACAAAATTCAGTCAATGAACAAAAGGAAATTGCAGGTCCTGCGCAATTGTCTAGAGGCATCCGTGACATCCTAATCCATTGCGTCACCGATTGCTGTGGTCTGGACACTGGTAGAAATGGGCTAAATGAATGTGTCGCATGCCTATGGTAAATTCTTAAAATTACCTAGGGAGGGAGCACAAGGAAATTGTGATGAGCCCTGCACTAAATGCATGGGATTTGTTTGTCACACATGGCTACTTTACCAGCAAAATCTCAAGAGGAATAAAGAGTGCATTTCGTGGCACGCGGCCACACTGAATGATATACAGTGAATGTGTTTAATTGGGTGGAAATCGAAGCAGAGTAGAATAAATGAAGTCGACGCAGGACCAAATGATGGAATGCGGGTTGGAATAAATCCATTCCTTCATCCTCCTTATCATCGTCTGCGTCGTTGGGGTTCATCAGGGACAAGCGCACGAAATATTGAGAATTCTTGAAAAATCAGCGCTATTCTTCACCATGGTGGCAGAAAGAGAAACTTAAATGACAAGTGTGCATATCACACAAAGACACTCAGGTCAATTCGCTGCTGCCGATAAAGCTAAAATAATCGCCAAAACGTCATATCTGCTGGTAACTTTTACGTATTCTTAGCGATAGGGGTGGCAGATTACATTTACCAGCCAACTTATACTTCAGGTACTTCGACACATCCATTGATTTTAAACAACTCATTTTAGAACTTGCATCAACGTAATTGTTAGTGCTTTGAATGATTTGAGTGATGCAATTTTGTGCAGATGAGATAGGTGGTAGTCTGAGGACACTTAAAATGCGGCACAGGCACCAGCTGAGTGGTTCCATTTTCTGTGATTCCGTGGTCCACGATTCTGAATAAAACTGCCTTAAATGTAATGCCGGTTCACAGGGTGTTTACAGAAATTGAGTATGCATGAGGTGGTGCTACTGAATTGAATAAAGTAGATGAAGCTATAGTGTGTGCTTTGTCAAACGTGCGCGCAACATAGATGTCTTTCATTTCCACAACTTTTCATTTTCAGCGTCGCCCTCACCACACCCTGCAGCATCCCCTTATGTACACTAATGGGAAGTAGTCCTTGCTTCAAAATCACCCACGAGGCAGGGACAAACATCCTCTTAGCGTTCAACAGCCAGTGGGAGCACTTTAGGCACAAATGTGCCACAATTTGGGCCACTCTCTGTGAAAAGTGCAGTGCATCAACATTTCAGAAGGCGACTCCTTATGGCAACTTCACGCGAGATCGATTCATCATGAAAGTGGGACCAATCCCACTCGATGTCCCAGGAGCGTGGCGTTAATTTGAAGGGGATCTCACAACAAATTCGGAAAAGTAGAGGTACATACGAGACATATATTTTCATTAATCACAGCATAGCACTCTGTCGTTGATTTGAGGTTCGACATATTTTGCAGGCTTAGCATCGGTCGATGGGAGACTCCGCGGCATTGTCATAGCACGCTTTTCCACATGTAGTCTCAGCGAAATTCCCACATTACAGCTGGTTTGCGGCGGGGCAGAGATTTGGAAGATTCGAGTCAAAACACCACTAATTTTGTTCCCACTGCTTACTTCTTGGCTTCTCAGGCCTTTCCAATGGTAACAGCGTAAGTTTCTGCATTACTAGGCACTATTCCACCCCTAGACGTGAAGCAGTATGCAAATCAGTAGAAATTCCTGATCTCACTGGCTCGGTGCACAGGGGTAGCTCGGCGTAAATGCATGCTATTTGGGATCTGCGTCCGCGGGAGTAACGCAGCAACACTGTCGCCTTTTGGTTTGCAAAGAAAACACTCCGCAGAATCAGAAAAATATTAACTGAAAGCTACTGGCTCCATTGCCATGTTACCACTGATGGGGAACCTGGTCTCAAGACATGCCTCGCCACTACCCCCTGTTGCCCTTTGACAAGCATTCCTACCACCAGCTACTTGCACACAGAATACAAAATTGTCCAGTCTTTAGCACCACCAGTCAAACAAACCCGTCCACGATGCATCTTCCCTTGACTAGTACGCGAAGCTCCACAAGATTGCCGTTCAAAGAAATGGGCGACTTGCCTTCCCTGACGCTGTCAACAGCAATATTGCGAAATGGTGGTTCGATCTACTTTCCTTTTCTGAGGGAATTTTCAACAGCCGTGGGCAGTGCGCAAAAGGATTACCGCAGTTTGTCACCATTACATGTAGGCCTATCCTTAGTAAATTTCACTGTGCAATGTGCTTTAAAAATATCATGCAAAAGTAGCAGATGATGCGAAACTGGTAGATTGATTCATCCATCATTGGACAATCCAGGCCAGACAACACGTAGGCAAGTTTGGGGGTAGGAAACGGTGACTACTGGGACGCGGCAGTAGCAATGCCTTCCGCTGCCACCAAAAGTTGTGCCAGAGTAACCATGACTCTTGACATTAAACCCAATCACAGCCAGCTCCCAGCTCAAGGAGCTGCCATCATCATCTCTGCTGCTTTCAGTGCTTGTTCACTATTTTGCCGCAAAATTTCCTATCCGTGGATTATTTTGGCG